GTTCCCTGGTCAGTCAGTAATTCTCCAGGGAGTCCTACTCAGGAGAATATCTTCAGGAGTTCATCCACCTTCAGGGCAGATATTGTTCACATTGGCACAGCTTCTGGGTAGCGTGTTGCATAATCTAGCAGAACTAAGATGTACTGGTTTCCAGTGCTGCTCCAGGGCAGTGGCCCGACTATGTCCACCGCCACCCTCTCAAAAGGAACCTCTACCAGTGGCATTGGGATTAAAGGGGTCTTTGGGGGCGGCCTTGGGTTTACCTTTTGGCAGGCAGGACACGAAGTGCAGAAACTTGCGATTTACCGCACTAGACCTGGCCAATAGAACCTTGCTTGAATGCACGCTTGTTTTGTCCCGGCCCAGGTGCCCGCCCATGGGGAGCTCATGAGCCACCTTCAATAAGGCCTGTCAATACCGCCGCAGGACCAGCAGCTGCGCAACCTCCCCTCCTTCTGACTTCTTTTGCTCAATCCGGTAGAGGAGGCCGTTTCTTACTTCGAACCTCGGGGTAGTCCCCATCAGTTCCAGCCTTAGCACTTCGTTGTCTCTTCGGGCTAGGTGTTCCTGCAGCGCCGCCCAAAAGTCGGCCTCTCAGCTTTGCTCAAGCTGAAAGTGTTCATCTTCCTCCAAACGGGCGACGTTGATCCTTTGTTCCGCCTTCCTCTTCAGAGGGGGGCTGTTTGGTTTCCCCCACAAAACCCTCCGCGGTCTCTGCACCCCTCACACCAGCTATCTCTTCCAGCAGCTCAGGCCAGTCGCCGCCCAATACTACTGGGTAGGGTAGGTGTTCTGTGACCCCCACTAACATCCGGCAGGTCTTGTTGCCTACCTGTAGGTCGACCCTCACTCAGTCAAAGTTGAGGGGGTCCTCGCACCAACACCGCACCCTTGTACAATCTGCTCTCCCCTTCTCCCATGCTGGTAGCACATCACTCCGCACCATGGTCTGCACTGAGCCTGAGTCCAGCATTGCCACTACGCTTTTTCCCTCTATTATTACTTCTGTCAGCAATGGGAGTGGCACCTTTCCTGCCCCAGGGTTGATTCGGGCTCCATAGCTGCACAGTCCTACCTGCATCGTCAGTCAGAGCAGGGTGTTCTCGATCACGGCAGCCAACTGGGTCTGTTGTCACATGGCTTGGTCCAGCAGCCCTTGCATCTTTTGATATAACTGGTCCACAGGTTTTTCCTTGTTCTGTATGGGCCCAAAGGCTCTCTTCTTTACTCGGGTAAACCAACGTCTTATGTTGCATTCTGCCGTGTAAAAGTTTCCTGGCCAATGCACCATTGTGACAGGAGTATCAATATCACAGCCTTTCTGGGAGTGGCTCCACCCTCCTGTAATGGGCCAACAGCCTGCTTACTCATCTGCCATGCCTTGATCTTACTTGATTAGAAGATGATTGTAATCAACGGGAGGCTGCCCATTTTTTCCGCACCCCGGTGACCGGGGGCACTACCTACGGCTCCTTTTCCTCCCCTACACTGCAGCCCAAGCCTCGCAGATGGAATTGACGTGGTTTGTCCTGGGCCTTGTTATGTTCTGGCCCTCCTCTTTACTCCCAGGGCTCCTCACTGCCCCCTCTCTCACTCGCTCTGGGGCTCCTCACTGCCCCCTCTCCTGGGGCTCCTCACCGCCCCCCTCTCTCTCGGGGCTTCTCGCCACCCCCCTTTGCTCCGTGGCTTCTCGCCACCCCCTAGCTCCAGGGCTGGGACCAATGCGCCCCCAAACAAAGCTGCGCCCTCTCTGGCACCAGGAGACCCCACGCTACTGTGGAGCTCCTGTGAGGCCTCCTCCACCCCTAATAGCCCCACCCGGTCCTCCAGTCAAAACAGTAAACATAAAACATAAAGCCCCTGGGCTACAACATAAAAACTAGACCATCCGGTCAAACAAAATTCTACTCCCTACTAGAGAGTGAGGGAGCGGGGGGGGAGGAGGAGGGCTCCCCAACCTCAGCAGTGACCGGGGGATGCTGTCACTGCCAGAGTCCTCCCCTCTGCTTGTCCAAACTGAGTCCCTACTCCCACGGCTGCTGGAGAGGGACTACCCTCCTGGCCTCCTATCTGGGCTTAAGAAGGGATAAGCCCTGCCCCTTCCTGGTCAGCTGGTTACCAGTTGCCCCGGCAGCCAGCACCTGTGCAGCCCTGGTGACCGGCAACTGAGCCTCCCCCTTTCTGCCACTAGGGGTCTCCCCAGAGCAGTCTCCGCTCTCAGGCGCAGGACACCTGAGTGCACTGCAACATTCCCACACTTCAGAATAGTGGTGGGGCCACTTTAACTGCAGCTCATCAAACAAGCTTTAAAGCACCCCTGCCACCATTTTGAAGCATAGGACGCTGAATACACATGATGCTGTGGGCACTTTAATTAGACCTATTCTTGCAGCCACTCTAATTACAGTGTCCCCCACCCCCACCCTGGAACATGTTTAAAAAGTCCCCCCATGGCTGATCACCAAGCTGGAAGGGAATGGGGGGGCATCCCGATATGCTCAGCAGCGTATCCAAAAGTGGACTGGAAGGACTTCCGGTCCATTTCTGGGTTCACCGCCAAGCACACAGAGCGCACCCCCTGCTCTCCTGTGGGACGCTCCATCCACCCCAGCATCTCAGCATTCATGAGCTGCACCTGGTACCTCAAGGTACATAGAAAAAACATTTAAAGCAATCAGCATCAAAACTTCAGATTTGGATTCAGCCAAATTGAGTTGAGGACAGTGATCCAAATCAACTAACTGAACCACCGTCTCCTGATTTGGAGCGAATCCGAATTGAATACAGCCTGTTTTGCACACCCCTACTAGTCTGTCCAATCTAGTTCAAAGGCACTAATTGTTTCGCAACCAACATGCTTTTAAATTTAATTAAACTGATGCTTTAAAAATAACTACATATTCATATTTTCTGTAATATTAGTTAAAAAGCAAAAACCACAGATGACACTACACTGAAATTTACAAATATGCACTGGTTTAATTATACTGATTTAAAAATATGCCTTTATTTAAGACCATTCAAATCTGTGCATAAACAAGACCTGAAAGAAAGGTACCTGGGAAGATAAAACCAGTAAAAAAAAAAAAAAGGTTTAATTAAAAAGAAGCAAAATCTTTCTGAAGATTCTTAGATTGTAACAGTCTTATTTCAATTTAGCTCACATTAATGAGGAAATGAGTTCAGCTAAATTAATATAATCCACTCTTAAAATGTTGTCTACAAGATGCTGCACTAGTTTTTACTAAACTGTTAGTTAAACAAAAACAAATTTGTGTGTAAACAGGGCTAAAAACACAATACTGTAGTTCCAAGAGCTCCTGCTAGAAGGCTGTGTATCTGCACAGTTTCAACAATCATGATCCATTTATTCATGTTACATCTTGTATATTTTTTAGCACAACTAGTTCTTAAAATGCCAAAGCACAAGTAATTTGCATTTGTTCTATGTTCTATTAAGGCTAAGTACAGACATTCATGGAGGTTAGGGGGAAGTTACACTGCATTAAAAATGGTCACTCTATTTAACTTAGTTTGCCCGGGTGCAGACCTTACACTACTTACGTTGATCTAAGTGTGAGCTATACGGAAGTTCAGGACAGTTGGATCAATCTAAAAATCCAGCCCAATCTAAGTTAACCCTACCTCTGAAGTACATCTAACTTAGATTGGGTTGGCCATTTTTAGAACAACCTAATTGTCCTGAACTTCTATACCAGGGGCAGGCAATTATTTTGAGTGGAGGGCCGCTTACTAAGTTTTGGCAAGCCATCGAGGACTGCATGATAGGCAGCCAGGGGCAGATAAATATTAATTTTCTAAATTTTTTAGGGGCCCCACAGGCCGGGTAGAGTGGCCTGGTGGGTCGCATTTTGCCCATCCCTGTTCTATACAGTTCCCAGCACAGCCCGAGGACAGAGAAATGCCACCTGCTGGCCACAGCCCTGGGGCTGCACTTTTCCTAGCCCCTTCCTGGCACTGGTCTAGTTTTAGCCATCCAGCCCTGGGGGTAGGAGAGGGGTTGGGAGCTAAAAATAGCTCCTGGTCTCAGGGGTGGGGGAGAGAGTCCCCATCCCCCCTAGCCACCCCACAGACACAGTAACACCCCCACAAACCCTGCTTGCCCCCTCCCGCAGACCCCACTAGCCCCCCAATCCTCACTTTGGACCCCACCTGCCCACTGTAGGTGCATCCCCCACACATACACTCCCACCCCCTTCCCCACTCACTGTGGGGCTCAGGGAGGGGGCAACAGGTCAGCAGTGAGGGGCACCAGCAGAGCTGTGGGTTGGGCCTGAGGGGCCCTGGCAGGGCCAGGGGGCCGCAAAAGTCAGGAGTGAGGGCCACTGGCAGGGCT